GGGTTTGGGGGAGGACTTGTGCACCCAGTCGGACGAATTGACCTACCTGTCCGCCTGGGAAGCAGGGGAGACAGTCGGCACATGACTATCCGTTTCCTAGTGGTTGAAGAGCTCACGGCTTACAACCTCATCTTTGGCCGACCCACTCTTATTGAGTGTAAGGCCGTCATCATACCTGCTCTCATGCTACTCAAGTATGAGAAGGATGATGGAACAGTTGGTTCCCTTAATGGGGACCAAAAGACGGCTCGAGAGTGTTATCTCTCGGACGTCAAGCCTGCGGCCGCATCATCCGGCCGGGGCAAGCAAATGATTGACCTCGACGATGTCGAGGAAGAACAGTCGGCTCCACCAGCCGGAAAGAAAAGAAAGACTGATCAGCTGGTGGTGGTCAAAAAAGAAAAGCAATAGCAATCACTGACTGGGGAAAGGTCGGATGATCTTCGTCCCCAGCCAACTGGTGAGCACATTGATATCCCTCTGGATGATAGCCGTCCAGAGCGGACTGTTAAGGTGGGGATGATTGCCTTTGCAAAGTTGGGTGAAAACCTTCACCAACTGCTCAAGGAATTCAAAGACATCTTTGCCTTTGAAGTGGAGGAGATGCCAGGCCTCAGCCCGGATCTCGCTGTGCACAAACTCACCGTGGATCCTAAAAAGAAGCCTATCCGGCAAAAGAAAAGAAACCACGGCAAAGAAAGAAGTCAAGCGGCAGCTGTCGAAGTAAAAAAGCTGTTAGATGCCAAGTTCATTCAGCCGTGCAACTTCCCTGAGTGGGTAGCTAACGTTGTGTTAGTAAAAACCCCGAATGGAACTTGACGGATGTGTGTTGATTACACAGACCTCAACAAGGCATGTCCAAAGGATAGCTATCCACTGCCTAAGATCGACAGTCTGGTCGACTCAACAGCCGGACATGCCCTGATGAGTTTCATGGACGCCTATTCAGGTTTCCATCAGATCCCCCTGTGGAAAAAAAGATCAAGAAAAGACGGCATTCGTCACTGATCAGGGGTTGTTCTGTTATACGGTGATGCCGTTTTGTTTGAAGAATGCGCCTGCTACCTTCCAACGAATGATTAATACGGTCTTCATTAATCAAATCGGAAGGAATGTAGAGGCGTACATTGACGATATGATAGTCAAATTCAAACAGCAGGCGGATCACCTTGCTGATCTCCGAGAAACATTCGCCACACTCAGGCGGCACAAGGTCATGCTTAACCCAAAAAAGTGTGTCTTTGGTGTTGAGTCTGGGAAGTTTCTCGGATTTTTGATTGACCAAAGGGGAATAGAGGCCAACCCTGAGAAAATACAGGCGGTAATCGACATGCAGTCGCCCCGTACTGTGAAAGAAGTGCAAAAACTAACAGGTTGTCTGGCGGCCTTGGGGAGATTCCTCAGCCGTTCAGGCGACAAGTGTCACTACATTTTCCAGGCAATCAAAAAGAAGACAAACTTTGAATGGGGGGATGATGCAGAGGCGGCCTTTCAAAGGCTAAAAACTCATCTGCACTCTTTGCCGAGGCTTGTCAGCCCTTTGCCTAAAGAGAAGCTCTTCATGTACTTAGCCGTCTCTAATCATACCCTCAGTGTTGTACTCTTAGATGAAAGAGACGGCATCCAGCTCCCGGTGTATTTCATAAGCCATGTTTTGAGAAACGCGGAGCTTCGGTACCCCATGGTTGACAAATTCGACCATGCCCTTTACATGGCCATCAAGAAGCTTAAACCTTACTTCTTGGCGCATGCGGTAGAGGTCTATACTGACAAACCGATCAAGCGGCCACTCACAACCTTGGAGTCTTCTGGACGAATGCTCAAATGGGCGATTGAAATGCAAGGATTAGAAATCACTTACGAACCAAGGAAGGCAATAAAGGGACAAGCATTCGCTGACTTTATTGTCGAAATGACAAGGCCAGTTGTTCCGGACAATACAGACCAGGTTTGGAAAGTGTATGTGGATGGGAGCTCCACTGTGAACGGCTGTGGCGCGAGGATTATCTGTCAATCTCCTGAAGGAGATAAGTACGAATACGCACTACGGTTCAAGTTTCAGGTCTCTAATAATGAGGCCGAGTATGAGGCCCTGCTGGCCGGCATCCGGTATTGCAAGGCGGCAGGGGCGAAGAAGATATCCGCCTGCTTTGATTCTCAACTGGTCGTACTCCAGGTTAATGGAATGTACGAGGCCACTCATCCGGCCATGATAAAATATTTGCAGGCAGTCGAGTGAAGTTGGGTCACTTGAAGAATTACATCTAACTCAGGTGCCCAGGTCTTCAAACAATCAGGCGGATGCTCTGTCCAAGTTGGCATCATTCGCCTCCTGTGAAACGCCTCGGTCAGTTTTCTGGGAGGTCATGGAAAAAAGAAGTATATCTAAGGAAGACCCCATTGGAATTCTTGACCGGAGCACAACCTGGATGGACAGCATCCGGGCCTATCTTGCAGACGGCACGCTCCCAGACTCACCACGGGAGGCGATTGTTCTAAAAAAAACGAGCAGCTAACTTTAAGTTGCGACAAGGAGAGCTCTTCAGGGCTGGCTTTTTGAAACCCCTGTTGAAGTGTGTTACCCCAGAAAAGGGGAAGGAAGTCCTCGAAGTGTTGCATTTGGGATTCTGCGCCTCCCATATAGGCGGCAGATCCCTCGCGGCCAAGGCCAGGCGACTTTACTTTTGGCCAACTCTGGAGTGGGATGCCATGGAAATGGTGAAAAAATGTGACAAGTGCCAAAAGTTTGGCAAGCTCATCCATCGTCTGGCTACAGACCTCACGGCCATCCACAGCCCAATACCCTTTGCCAAATGGGGCATGGACATTCTGGGGCCATATACAACTGCACCAGGCAGTAAGCGCTATATATTGGTGGCTGTGGATTACTTTACCAAGTGAGTAGAGGCTGAGGCAGTCAAAAACATCAAGACTAAAGACGTCATTTCCTTTATCTGGAGGAACATAATCACTCGTTTTGGGGTGCCCATGTCTATGATTTTTGACAATGGTCCTCAATTTGAGACGCCTCAACTCAAGACATGGCTGGGAGACCAGGGGGTCTCAAGCTTCTTCGCATCAGTCGGCCGGCCGCAAGCAAACGGTCAGGTCGAAGCCTTCAACAAGTTAATCTCAGACGGGATTAAAAAGAAAATTGAGCGGGCTGGTGGCCTTTGGGCGGATGAATTACCACACATCCTTTGGTCCATCAGAACGACTGCTAAAGGGGCAACAAGAGAAACCCCATTCCTAATGGTGTATGGTGCAGAAGCTGTTCTGCCCATTGAGCACTATGAGCCGACCCTTCGAATCATGTTGTATGATGAAGAGGCGAATTGGGAGGCCATGCGCCTGGCATTGGAATCACTTCCAGAGCGCAGGGGCAATGCTGCCTTGTGCCATGAGATATACCGTCTGAGAATGACTCGGGCATACAACAAAAGAGTACGCAAGCGTCCTCTCAAAGTGGGGGACTTTGTGCTACGAAAAATGGAGGCAGTCGGTAGGGCGAACGAACAGGGAAAGCTAACCCCAAATTGGGAAGGCCCCTACCAAATTTATGAGGAAGTAAGAGACGGCAGGCAGCTACCCAGAACTTGGAATGTAGACAACTTGAAAAAGTACTACTTCTAAGTACGAATGTAAAAACCTCAATTTTGTAAATCTCACGTATTGTTAATGAGAATATGCCTTCATTTCCCAACTTGTCTTTTTATTTAAGCTCTTAGTGTCGCCTGTATACAATACAGACGGCCAATACGTTTATAGATCGTTTGTCTCAACCGCAGACGCTCCAATCATTTTGAAGGAACCGATTGTTTTAGAACAGTCGTTCCTACGAAATTCATCAAGTTTACACCAACACTTGACGAATATTTACGAAACCATTTAAGAAGCCTAAGGCTAGATAAAATCATGATGAGGCCCATGGCCGGATGTTAATAAACAAAAAGAGACTGAATGGTCACAGTCTGCTCCAACATGAGTATGATCGTCTGCTCCGAGATGAGTCAGATAACCGGCGACGTCCATTTTGGCGAATTCGTCGAGGAGAAGCATCTCCCATTTGGGTGGCACATTGCTCTACGAATATATCAAGCAGCCCTACCGAATGCTAAGGCAGCATTCGCAGTCGTTTGTTTTAATCGAAAGTGAAATCTAAAAGACCTGAATTTTCTATCTAGCGCAGTTCAGAAATGGTCACTGTTTCATAAGTAGAGGCTAAGCGAGGCATAAAGCCGGATGCACCTGTTATTGCTCAGGGGAAAAACAGGCGGAATATTTACAAGCTAAGTTAACTACTTAGCACTTATTGAGGCTATTGGTCGGATGACGCCTGATCCTTGCCTATGGGGCAAGACAGGCGGACAATTATTTTTAAGAGAAAATTGGTTAAGGAACAAACTTAGCATTTTATCTCAAAGAGGCCTATGGCCGGAGGCGCTTGTTTTTGCTTATGGGGCAGAACAGGCGGAGGTTTACCCTTAGCAAATAAGCTAAGTTGGAAATTTGAGTTAGTTCGAGCCAATGGCCGAATGAACACTTATGTTCGCCAATTCTGGATGGACGTCTGCCGCGTGGTTTGGGGCAATCACCATAGTGATTGATTGACTTAGAAACCATGCATACTCTTCTAAGTATCAAAAATTTCTAAGTCAATCAATCCAATAAACCGAAACCACTCGACATCCGTCCAGGGGCAAGAACATTCGCATGGTATACAGGTTATAATACTTAGCCAAAAACATGCAATGAAGAATAAAAATTCAAGCAGTTCAAAGGACGGAATATGGATAACTTCAGCCAAATGGCCGAATGATTCAAATTAAAAAAGACCAATCGCCACCTGACAATTGGTTAAGATTGTCATCTGGCAAAGCCAAAAAGATTGTCAAATTACCCGACCCCTTGGTCGGTAAAGATACAAATACTCGGCACGCAGGCCGTAAAAGAAAAGTACATGGCCATTCGACCGCAGAAAAGCATAAAAGCTTAAGTGATCAGGGGAGAGCCTCTTCAGTGGCAGCCGACTTGTCGTCCTTCGGCTGCTCTTCATCCTTTCTCTCTTGCTCCTCCGCCTGATCCTCCTCCTCCTCGCCACCAGAGGACGACTCCCCAGAAGAGTCAGACCCAGAACTTTCCTCGGCCTCAGCATTCTCAGCCTCTTCAATAAGGCGAGCGTCGAATGCTTTGCTGGCTTCGTCAAATTTGGATATCCAAATCTGATAGTCCGATTCCGGCTGTACAGCCGCCCAAGTGTCCCGCATGATGGCTTCATAATCGCTCATCATTTGCTTAACAAGAGCTTCTCTCTCTTGATCAGCCACGGACTCAAACTTGGACTTCAGCTGATGCTCCTGGTTTCTGAGGCGCTGCTCTAGGCGGCCCACCTTCTGCTTGGCTCTCTCGGCCTCTTCTTTGACATCTTGAAGAGGCTCGAGCTTCTCCTTAAGAGTTGTAATCTCTTTCTTAAGGGAAGTGATGCGCAGGTGGGCCGAGTACAGGTCCTTCTTCACCTGCATATTGGCTTCCGCCTGCGAATACATCATATCAAACGTCAGATACTCATTCTAAGCAATATCAAATTAAGCCCGATCCAAGGAGGGCTCGTCCCAAGCTTTAGCGACTGTTACCTCTTTAGATTTCTCCTTAAGGGGTTGCCTGAGCCCTTGGACGCGCAGCATGGCCTGCAAAAGAGCCAAATGGTTAAAACTAGGAGGAAAAAGAAATAATACTTAGCAAAAAAAAAAAAAAAAAATTGAGCTAAGACTCATACCTCGTAGAGGTTCCCCAAGATGCCATCCAAGTCAAGGGTGCCGACTCCTCTGACAGACGCCTTGTCGTCAGGATCAACCGCCCTCAGCATGGACTTGGCCATCTGGACTACAGTCGGCCTCTGCACAGGAACTGAGAAGGAGAGAAAGTTAGAAAAATAACTCAAGTACACCTAAATGGAAGAACAATAGAGGCGAATGGATTTTACCGTCGTCCTTCTGTTCCTCCTCTCTCCCCAGACTCCTCTTCTCTCATGCTGAGCCGACAGCAGTGGTGGGTTGCTTAAAGCCACCCTTCGATGCCCTCTGGGCATCCGATTTGCTGATCTCCTTTTCAGCTTCGAGAGAAGTGGCGTCTGGGCCCTTCTTGGGTATATGAGAAATGTGCTTCCGGCCGCCCTTGCCGGATGCGCTCACATCACCCGCCCTAGTCTTTTGGATTTTAGTGTCGGATGGTTTTGAAGGAGATTTGGAAGGTGCACCCTACATCAACACAAGATAAACGCAAGTTAGAAATCATTCGGGCAAATTTAATATTGGTTAGAAATGAAAGTATAACAATTTTCTACCTTGGAGGTGCCGCTAGTTTTCTGCTCGTCCACTTTGGTGTGAGTGGTTACTTCTACCCTGTTTAGGACATTCGACCTGTATCGAGCAGCAGATACAGTCGGCTTCCTTGTGGCCGAGAGCTTTTCCATTGCTTTGTCTGCAAAAATGAACAAGTGATTAGCGTCATTAAACAAGTACTGAAAAGAAAAAGTAAATTGCATATAAAACAGACCTCGGCATCTCAGAACTTAGCCCACAGGCGGCTAAGAATGTCCCTTCTTCAAACCACTTGTACAAAGGGAGATAGCATTGAGGGGTGACCTCCTTGTCCCCCACATCATTCGTCCACACGGACACGGTAAACAACGCCGCGTCCATGATCTCCTCCTTTGCCCGCCTGGGAACAGGCGGCAATGCGCTCCTGCCTGCTAGGAGAGGTGGATCCTTATTCCACCTGTTATACTTTTTCTTCAGGCGGTTGTCGGCAGACTTGACTATGTAAAACTTAGTCCTCCAGTCTTTCCACTTGTTCTCTTTGCCAACAGCCATCATGTACCCCTTGCAAGTGGTCAAGGTGTACCAGCCTTCACCGCCCCTAGCAGGCGCCCTGCTCAGATAGTGCATGTGGGCAAACGCTTCAAAGCTCGCCTCCACCTACAGCATCTCACAGGCGGCAACGTACCCCAGAATATTGATCCAGGAGTTGGGTACAAGTTGCCAGATTCCCAGTTGGTATCCGTCCAAAATCCTCTCCACGACCGGATGGAGAGGGAAGCGGAGGCCAGCCTGGAAGGCCGCTTCATAGCAGCCGAATGCTTTGTCTTGATAGCTAGCCAAGCTCGTCCAGGTTATGGTGTCGCCCTCGTTAGGGACCGACAAAGTGTAGCCATAGCCTAGGGCGACCTTGCGCCTAAAATTGGCAAGGCCGGATGCCATGGCGCTCCGCCTGCCTAGAAGAACATGCTGATAGTAGGGGGCTCTCTCCAAGCGCCTGGAAGCACTCGGCTCGGCCCAGCTTTCCCCCCTATCCACTGCCAGGGACTCTCTGGCAGAATCTATGTTTGATCTAGCCTCCTCTGAAGTTACGGAGGCATTCTCTGTAGAAGATGACGAGGCCGACTCGTCACCAGAGCTCTCATCAGAGCTAGGGGACCGTCGACTGGTGCCAGCGGGGTCCTCCCCTTGACTCTCTTTCGACGCCTGTCCAGAAGGCCCTAGTTGATATTCTTCATCCGCCTCCCCAAGGATTCCATCACTAGGAGTTCCACTAGATGTGGGCGAATGGTAATAAGTGGGGGTAGGAGGAAGATAGGAAGGGCTGTCAGGGTGTTCCGACAGCTCACTTCGAGGCACTCTTATTGAGCCGTCTGAAAAAACAGTCGACCCATCTGAATGGTAGAAAACTCCATCGGAGCTACACTGCCTTGCTGTTCTTTTGATTCTGGCCATAGTGTCCTGCACAGATACGAAAATGGTTGGATTCGGAGAAGTTCGCAAAGCAGGGTCTTTGGCCAAGCATTCGGCATTGCTAGTTCTAGATTCAGCCGTCCCCGGTGACCGGCTGATCACTATCCTACGTCGTGCCGCATGCAATTGGGGAGCCATTTTTTCGAAAACAAAGAAAAAATGAAGAGTAAAAAGAAAATACAAACGTTACCTTTAGAAGAAGGGAGAAAGATGCTTGGTTGACTAAAGAACGTCGGACTGGTAGCCGAGTGTCGGATGCTTGAAAAACGCTTAGGGAATTTTGAGATTCTTTAAGTCAAAAAGTCCAAGATTCTCCAGAGATTCGCCAAGGTGTGAATCCAAGAGGGGGGGTCAAACCTCACTATTTATAGGGGGGTAAAATCCTAATTTTTTCCTCTAGTAAATTTTCGAATTTGACCACTCAGATACTGACACCTGTCATAGGAGTCACGTGCAATGCACGTGACCCCTGTGAGGGGCAAATGATTTGGGTATTTTATACCCGGCCAGGTGGCCTAATCAGAAAGTGCCACGTGTCCTCCGTATAGGTGCCATTTGGACCTATGGAATGATGACACGTGGAGGGTGGACTCTTCTCCGTCCTACGTGGACTGAAGGTCCAGCAGGGACCATTCAGGTGGCGACACATGTCACACAAAAAGTGCTTCAAAATCCTTTGGGCACAGTGACACGTGTCACTCAGGCATTGGCCTTGGGATGGCGGCCTTCTAAGGCCCAAATCCTGAGGCGCCGCAAAACGGCGTGACCTAATTACTAGGTCACCAGATCCTAGGAAGGCACACTTTTCAAAAGGACCCTATAAATAGGGACATTATGTCATTTATGACAGAGAGAATTTTTGACACGCAATACGAGACAATACGTCACTTATCTCACTTTACCTGAGCTTGGAATCCAAGAAGATATCTTTACTTCCGCACGTTTTATAGTGATAATTTTATTATTTGTCGACGTAGTAAATAGGAAAGGAAATGAAAATAGAATTAGTTTCATCGTTTTTACATAAAAAAAATATAGGAGTAATTAGCTGTGACACGTTCACTAAAAAAAAATCCTTTTTGTCGCGAATCATTTATTTAGAAAAATTGAGAAGCTTAACACAAAGTCGGAAAAAGAAATAATAGTAACTTGGTCACGGGCATCTACCATTATACCCACAATGGTTGGACATACAATCGCTATCCATAATGGAAGAGAACACTTGCCCATTTACATAACCGATCGGATGGTTGGTCATAAATTAGGCGAATTTGCACTAACTCTAAAGTTCCAGGGACATGCAAAAAACGATAATAAGTCTCGTCGTTAAGTTTAACTTAAAGTTAATTAAGTTAATATAAAAAAATAGATGCTTATCATTTATTAATGGAGGTAAACTTTATGGGATTTTTTTTTAAAAAAAAGAAAAGAAATCAGAATTTGATGTCTTTCGTCTATACGGATCACGTCACCCAGAACCGGGACAATGTGATGAGATAACTACAAGAGATCATTCTATATCCATGTCTGTTGACAAAGCACGAAGAGTAATTGATCAGATACGGGGTCGTTCCTACGCCGAAACACTTATGATATTAGAACTCATGCCCTATCGAGCATGTTATCCTATTTTTAAATTGATTTATTCTGCAGCAGCAAATGCTAGCCACAATAAACAATTCAACAAAGCAAATTTAATTATTAGCAAAGCTGACGTTAATAAAGGTATTACCTTAAAAAAAATTAAAACCGCGAGCTCGAGGGCGTAGTTATCTGATTAAAAAACCTACTTGTCACATAACTATTGTATTAAGAGATATAACCCACTTTGATTCATATGAGAAATTTTTAGAGAGTTTACCTCCAAAAAAGCTAATAACTTCCGTAGCTATTATGTCTACAAGTCGACGACGCGAATTCTTGTGTGGTCGTTTTAGAGAAAAGCATAAAATAAAGAGTTTTTTATACAATATAGCCTTTGTATGATGGAGTAAGTAATATGGGACAAAAAATAAATCCACTTGGTTTCAGACTTGGTACAACACAAAGTCATTATTCCCTTTGGTTTTCACAACCAAAAAACTATTCAGAAGGTCTACAAGAAGATCAAAAAATAAGGGATTGTATCAAAAATTATGTACAAAAAAATACAAGAGCATTCTCGGGTATCGAAGGAATTGCACGTATCGAAATTCAATAAAGAATTGATCTGATACAAGTGATAATCCATTTGGGGTTCCCAAAATTATTAATAGAAAATCGACCACACGGAGTAGAAGACCTAAAAATAAATATACAAAAAGAATTGAATTGTGTAAACCGAAAACTCAATATTGCTATTACAAGAATTGCAAAACCTTATGGGCACCCTAACATTCTTGCGAAATTTATAGCCGGACAACTAAAGAGTAGAGTATCATTTCGAAAAGCAATGAAAAAAGCTATCGAATTAATCGAACAAGCTGATACAAAAGGAATTCAAATCCAAATTGCCGGCCGTATCGATGGAAAAGAAATTGCATGTATCGAATGGATAAGAGAGGTAGGGTTCCCTTACAAACCATTCGCGCGAAAATCGATTATTGTGCTTATACGGTTCGAACTATCTATGGAGTATTGGGAATCAAAATTTGGATATTTATGGACGAGTAATAATAAGCCTTTACTTAATTTTTCTTTTGGTATCGATTTAATGATGGAACATAAAATAACAATCTTTTTGCTTCTTTATCCACCGAACAAATTCTCATTTTGAATCCCATTTTAATCCCATAAGGTTTAATAAAAATTCGATTGACCTTTTGAAAAAATTGCTATGCTTAGTGTCCACGTGGAGGGTGGACTCTTCTCCGTCCTACGTGGACTGAAGGTCCAGCAGGGACCATTCAGGTGGCGACATGTGTCACACAAAAAGTGCTTCAAAATCCTTTAGGCACAGTGACACGTGTCACTCAGGCATTGGCCCTGGGATGGCGACCTTCTAAGGCCCAAATCCCGAGGCGCCGCAAAACGGCGTGACCTAATTACTAGGTCACCAGATCCTAGGAAGGCACACTTTTCAAAAGGACCCTATAAATAGGGACATTAT